ACATGGTATTCAAAACAATACACACATACACAAAATATGTATTTTGATTTGATTGAGCCAAGGCCTATATAAGGTCGGCCAATAAGCGAATTCATAGAGAAAACTTAAGATTGACGTCAATTTTTTTATGTATGTATGTATAGGTTTCAAAATATGATTTGACAGCAAACTTTATACTCACCTGTGCTTACTGGCCGACCTTATATAGGCCTTGGATTGATGAAGCCACCTTGAGAAAAAATTATAATCAGTTGGTAGCTGTGCCCTACGTTGTAATAATTATACCATGCATATAACTAGAATTCTACCAATCGATTGTTGTAAACCAAATAGAAATTTGAGCAATTTCAATGAGGGTTTTCCTAAAATCTCAAAACCACAAAAAGGTTGACATATATTATAACCGCATGGCAGGGTGAAACATGTTTATAAAATCCTGAAAATAATCTAATTTAGAGGGCAAATTTATATGATGCATACAAAAAAGGGACCAATGTTGAAAACATTGTGTAGGAATTAGCGAATACTTGGTGTTTTTATTATGTAAGAGGTTCTGCCTAATTAAGGGCCGATATAGCTCAAGTTCCAAGCTAATAATTTAGTTTTGTATCCCAATACCGTGCAACACGCTAAATATTAAATATGTAGGATGTTTTATATAGGACGTGGCCTATATGCGGGTCGATATAGTTCATTCTCAAACCTCACGTTCTAGTTTTTATGTCGATATCCTCCCATAGATAGAATAATGATTACAACATATGTGTTTAGCTCAGAGGGGCTCCGCCGAAGGGAGTCAGTACGCCGAATGCGTGGAGCAGTGGACCGTAGGGTAGGGGTGTACGTATAGAGAGCCGTAAAAGTAAAGAAGAATAAAAACACAAGAGTTTTCTTAATATAGTAATTCAATGGTTTATTGATTGTTTGGTTGTTGGTAACGAAATTACCTTACTATGCACAACGATATATGCTCGCAACGATATGCGTGGTTGTGTGTCCGACTGACAGATTGATTCTCCTCGATGCTTAAAGGAGGCGGCAAAAACAAGTGACAATTAATTACTCGTTAAAATGTCAAGGACGCTAAACCAAGGTTGCAATAAACCGTAGCGCATACATTTTAACGAATGATTAAGGACCAAAACAGGGGTCAATAAAAAGGAGTAACTCAGGACATTTCTAACTTAAACATATGGCTAAATCGACTAAATCGTTTTAGAATTCCATATCATGCAGAGTATGAATTGAAAATTTCTATTGAAAATTTCTATTTTAATATAAAAAAGGGGGTTATATGGGGACTACCCCTAAAATGTGGCGAATATCAATAATTTTGGGTAGGGGTATTTGTTACCATATACGACTACAAAATACCAAATTACAGCAAATTTGGTCGATTGAAAAACGACCTCAAGAACCCCAAAATATCGAAAATTGTGGGGTACCCTTATATGGGGTCTATCCGAATAAATGAACCTATATTTATAATTTTTGGTGGGGAGATTTGCTACCCAATAATAACTCAAAGTACCAAGTTTCAGCGAATTCGGTTGAAAAACGGGATTAAGAACCTTAAAATAGCGAAAATTGGGGAGGACCTTTATATGGGAGCTACGCCTAAACGTGGACCGATATATCTCATCTTCAAACTTGACCTGCCGGCAGACAAAAGACAAAAAAAATTTTGGCTATCTATCTCAATTCGTTAAGACGCTAGAGTGATTACAACAGACGGACATGCTTAAATCGTCATAGAATTTTACGCTGATCAAGAATATATCTACTTTATATGGTCGGAAATGATTATCGATGCGTTACAAACGGAAAAAGAAAACTAATATACCCTCCATACTATGGTGGAGGGTATAAAAAAATTGGAGATATTTAATTACAGAAAGTACACATTTTTATTTTTTTAAATATGGAATTTATTTTTCAAACAATTTGAAATTAATAGATGAGTTCTAAATTAAAAAGGGTTGCCATTATTAATATCTCAAATGTGACTACCTTCTGTAATTATGCCATGCATACATATCATTAATGTTGTGAATAAGCATATTTTCGATAATTATACCCTTCACCACACTGTGGTACAGGGTATTATGTCTTTGTGCATATGTTTGTAACAGGCAAAAGGAAACGAGATAGACACATGGTTCCTTTTGAGAATATGCATAGAATCACTTTCTAAGTCGATTTATGCATGTCCGTCCGTCTGTCTGTCTGTCTGTGCATGTTAAATTGTAAACAAAGTACAGGTCGCATTTATGATCCGAATTGGATGAAATTTGGCATAGGTCACTTATTCGGCCCAAGGACGAACCCTATTGAAATTGGGAAAAATCGGTTCAGATTTAGATATAGCTCCCATATATATATTTTACCGATTTAATGTAAACGGTCCCTATATATCTTTCGATTTGCACGAAATTTGGTACAGCCTAATCATTTAGGTCTATAATGATGTATGCCAAGTTTCGAGAAAATCGGTCCAGATTTAGATATAGCTCCCATATATAGTTTCGTCCGATTTCATATAAATGGTGCACCAAAGTCCCTATATATCCTTCGATTTGGACGAAATTTGGCATAACGTACTGAATTAAGCCTAGAGTGATGTCTGTCAAGTTTCGAGAAAATCGGTCCAGATTTAGATATAGCTCCCATATATAGTTTCGTCCGATTTCATATAATTGGTGCACTAAAGTCCCTATATATCCTTCGATTTGCACGAAATTTGGCATAACGTACTGAATTGAGCCTAGAGTGATGTCTGCCAAGTTTCGAGAAAATCGGTCCAGATTTCTATATAGCTCCCATATATAGTTTCGTCCGATTTCATGTAAATGGTACACCAAAGTCGATATATATCTTTCAATTTGCACGAAATTTGGCATAACGTACTGAATTGAGCCTAGAGTTATGTCTGCCTTGTTTCCTGAAAATCGGTCCAGATTTAGATATAGCTCCCTTTTAATATAGATTTACTTTAAGTAATTGACGCACCAAGGAACCAATAGGCTGATAGGAACAAAACGTTCTGAAATTAGTATAACCTAACCTGTGACAAGTTTTTTTTGAAATCGCTTAATATTTGGATAGAGCTTCCATATATATTTTCGCCCGATTTCAAGTAAATTGTTAGTCAGTTTGACATCAATTTTTGCACAACTTACAAAATTGAGCATAGAATTACGCAGTTGCGTTTTCTAGAATTACAGACATAGCCCAACGGATGACCTATTTATATTTGTTTGAACTCGATTTACATACTTTATGGATAGATCTAGGTAGATGCACATTTACATAAATATCACATATTTTATTTCATTCAATTTCATGTTAATAATCCTGTTTAATATACCCATAGTGGTGAAGGGTATCATATAGTCGGCACCGTCCGACTTTACTACTTTCCTTACTGGTTTTTTCTTAAAATTGGAAAAAATGTTAAGGAAGCAAATTATGAATCTACGTTTGGAAGGAGAATCTGTAGCAGAACACCTAATGAAATTTGGACATTTAATTAGAAATCTAAAGATGACTGGTGGTGAAGTTGGATCAAGCGATTTAATAACGCAACTGTTTATGACATTACCAGAGAAGTTCGATCCATTAATAACAGCATTACACAATTTGGATGAATCAAAATTGACTTACAATATGGTAAAAGAACGACTCCTTTTGGAAGAAACGAAAATGGTCCACCGTTCAGAAGGGGAAGAAATTCCACCAAAAACAGCCTTTGAAGGTAAAAAGAAATTTAATAGAAAATTTCAAGGTCGTTGTCACATATGCAAGAAATTTGGACATAAGGCAAAGGATTGCCGTCAAAGTGAGGCCAGAAGCGCATCAAAAGGATACAAGTCTTCACAAAAGGACATTTGTATCAAAGGAAAACAATGTCGTGAATCTTTTGATAAAACTCGGGAAAAATCCACTCGTCCACTACAACGAATTCACTCTGATGTATGTGGTCCTATTGATCCTGTAGCATGGAATAAGAGCAGATATATCGTTTCATTCATTGACGATTTTACTCATTTTTCTGTAATATATGCAATAGCCAAAAATCAGAAGTATTTCAAAAATTTATTGAGTATGAAGCAATGGCTAGGGCACAATTTGGTTTATCAATTTCAAAACTAACAGTGGATCAAGGTCGAGAATATGGTTCATCTGAACAAAGAAAGTGGTATGAAATGAAGGGAATTCAAGTAGAAGAAACGATTGCATACACCCCTAAATTATGAGATATGCAAGAAAGGAAGTTAATCACTTCAAGAGACGTCAAATTCGATGAATCGTATTTTCCCTATAAAGAATGTAATGTTGAAAATTCCCCGAAGACGCAAATTATAAGAAGTAACATGCATGAAGGGATGATGGGGATGAGAATAGCATGCCTGTTACTGAAACAAATAGCAATATTACTGATGTTGAACCCGATATTGAAACTAACGACGATGATGAAGTTTTTTCGTCACATTCTGATACTGAAACTGAGAATACAGTTGGAACAAGTGATAATACTCCTAGAAGAAGTCAACGGACTCGGAATGTTCCTAACAGGTTTTTGGGATTCAAAATCGGATTTTCGGCGTATATAAAAGACGAAATCCAAATGGATGTTCCAGAAAAATTTCCCGACATGGTTTGAAGCAATAAACGACGAATTGAAATCAATGGAAATAAATAAAGTTTGGAAAATTGAACAAAAACTCAAAACATCAAAATTATTGAAATCAAAGTGGATTTTCAAAATAAAAAACGATGAAAATGGAAAGCCATTAAGACACAAAGCCCGATAGGTAGTAATAATGATGTTTATGCGCCGGTTGCAAAACTTACTACTATTAGCCATCGCAGCAAATGGACGTAAAATCTGCATTTTTGCATGGCGATCTGGAAGAAGAAATATCCATGCATATACCTGATGGCGTTCCAGAAGGAACGGAAGGAAGGAAGGCATGTCGACTTTTAAAATCTATCTACGGCTTTTTTTATTATTATTTCTTACAAATAAATTAAATCACAGATGTATTGTTATGGTCATTAACATCTAAATGTTCACACACAACAGACGAGCTTACACCTGGTGGCTCTGCGTTGAGTACCAGATTTTCAATGGACCGAAACACCATTTGATTTAGTGGATGTGTAGCATGTGATGTTCCGCTTCGAACCCTTGTCGATGATCTTAGGACAGTTATGACATCCTCAGCGGTATACGGCCTTGTTATTTGTGTTGAACCCCTACTGTTTTCACTATCTCCAAATACTTCTCTAGGCGCTGAAGAAGGTCGATTCGAATTTGTTTTCTGAGCTAAGCGATGCTTTTGTAACATCTGTTTACGGCCTAACGACAAACTTCGGCTATGTACCAAATATGTTGGCGGTCGATTGCCAATCTCAATTGATTCACTTATGCTAGGCGGTACTTCATTCGAACCCGATGGATTTGAAAGAACAGATGAATAATCTGGTGGAAAAGACGTGTTTTCATCACTATGTTCCATTTGAATTGATAATATTGGCCTCGTCCTTCCGGAATCCCCCAATAATCTGTAAATGCCAGTTGAGACAAATGTTAATACATATGATTGTAGTCTAAGCAAACATCTTACCTTCTAACACTACGCCTTATGCTTTGGCGCAATATTTTCGCCAATCTTGCTCCAGTTGCGGTGGTATATGATGGTGGAGGAGTATATTTTGGCGGAGCATCATCGTGTAAATTGGTAATGCCATTCTCGGCATTGCTGCCGTTTCTTCCCTGCCTGTAACGGTTTTCTAAATCATCCCTGAGTGTACGGTTTACTAATCTTGTAGCTGCTGAGCCCTCCAGTGGTCGATATAGCATTTGAATTCTCTACAGAAAAATCAGATAATTACAATTAATTTCGCAATTCATTTACTGCAAACTTGTCGGCTGCTGGGACTTACATCCAGAATATCGGGAGGTCCCGAAGTAAGATAGCGGTAAATTTGTATGATAGCGGTTATGGGCACCAAAAGCAAAAAACCAATTTGGGTTAAAGCTCCAACCTTCCTTGCCCAGTAATTGTAATATGAACGTCCTCGCCAATAATACAATTGACTTGACAACGATATTTTGTATTCAATCACGGCCAACGTTATAAGGCTGATGGGCAATAAAACATTCCAGGACAAGGCCAAGAAAGCGGACATAGAACCCGACATTTTTAAATCGTTCACAAGGTCGTCCCCATTATAGGGTCGACCTCTGATCAAAAAAACACCAAAAATCTCCGCCGCCCATAAAATTGGAATGAACCACGCACCACCTATCAGACTGTCCATATAATGGAGCAGATTAATTCCAACCTCAGTTGCAAACGGTATACTCAGTAGTAGACCAGTGACACAACTAAGTAATACAGCGCTGGTGGAGTTACCCAAAGCACTCGATATAGGCTTCCACATAACACATAACTGGGCAATTCCAAACACAAAGAGCATTAAAAATACGACAGAACCCCAAATCCACGAAACATCATCACCAGCAATAACTAGAACTGCTGGAAATAACTCAGAAATAAAACGAAGCACCTGATAACCGCTGGATATTTTGAGGTCGGTGTGGCGCCTGTACACTTCGCCAATCAAACTCGAGTAATGGGGTACAAGTTTTGTCGGATATGATATGATATCAGTGCTAGGCGAAGATTTTAATGAATATATTGACGAATATGTGCCTGGTTTCTCTGAAAATTATAGATAGATGATAGATGGTTAAAAGTACTTAAAAAAATGCTATAGAACCTACCATAAGAACCGGGTACATATACATAACCAGCCTTATTCAATATTTGGATGCAGCACAATCCCATCAACGCCGATAAGCAAAGGCCAATAAGTGTCATCAAAACGACAAGGATAGCATCTCGCCGCAACGTCTTTTTAGATTGTGACTTGTGTGTTCGGCTCGATATAGCAATCACAGAAGCCCCAAGAAGACCCCATGTTAAGAACGTTTCTTGAGCTGCAGCGGTCCATGTTTTCGAATTAATGAGGAAATCATCCAGCTCAGAGGAGCTAAATACATTCTAGAATAACGAACGAATTTGTATTACTAGAGAAATGTCTTGCGGAGGTATTTATTGTTTTACCTGGAGTTTTACAAGATCTACCACATAAAGTAATTTTCCAGTAACTACTGTCAATGCCAGAAGAGGTAATATTCCCACAATAAAGATAACCTTTCCAAATGATCTCAGACCCTTGCACAGTATTAAAAATACAGTTGCCCACAATATTGCCAAATAGAACGCCAGCTGCTTAAATAGCACAGAAGCATAAGATTTAATGTTATGACAATAATCCATCTCATCTTTTATACTTACCCGATCATTGATATGTATGCGAATGCCAGTGGTATTAATTAATTTAAGAATCTGCAGTCTTTGAAGAACATTGATATTAAAGTAATCTGGAATACTTTCGGTAAGATTGTAGTAGTTGTACGAGTAATTCCTAGGAATAAGGAAGTGCGTTGTATCCGCCCACCGATAGGATGACTGGTACAAAAAAGTGTCGCTTAGATATACCAAGAGCCAAACGACAACAACGGATGAGTATATTGTAATAAAATATTGCACAAGAACAAGTGAAATCCCAATGCCGCTACATATCGGACTGATTTTCCACATGGACACTGGCCCTGCTCTTATTTTGGCACCCAAACACATTTGCAGCCACAAGAAGGGAACTCCGAAAATTATAGAAAGCAATAGGAACTGAATAAGAAAATTCGGCCCGTAATTGATTGTCAAAACTGCAAATCGACAAATATTGAAGAGGCCTAATGTACACGACATTAGAGCCAAAGTTCGACTATAACTATGTGGCCAATATGTGTTAAATCCCGCTTTCTGAGTTGTTTCAACATTTTCTGAATCATGGGTAGTATTGCTGTTTTGCTGTGAATTGCCCTCGTTCAATACGATGTTAGATTCTATTATATTATGTGATGTTGTTGAAGATTCACTGGAATCAGAACTAGAGGCGATCGTTACTGGGCTTGTTGTCCGCGTTGAACGTCCCGTGCTTCCTTCTGACCCAGCATACGTTCTAGAATTACGTAATAACTCTTCTGAAGGAATTACTTGTATTGATGCTGCTACTGGTGCACTCATTGGTCTAGACTGATTAGAAATGTTGGAAGGGAAATTGCCACAAATATTTGATTCGGGCATGGATGCATGTGAATTTCTTTCTGCTCGCCTGCCATATTGGCGAGGCCTATACTCAGAATCTTCCCGGCAATTTTCATTTTGTTCAATTAAATTTTGAAATATTTGCGCTTCCGTTAATATATGTGTCGAATTAGTAGATGCAGTGGTAGAACAATCTTCCTGTGATATACAACGGCGGGTTTGGTGGGGCTCACAAGCACTATTTACATGATCTGAAATATTTTCCGCGACGTTGTTGCATGAACCCACTTCTGCAACTGGATAGAACTGAGGAATAATTTGGTGGTTCTTTTGCTTGGTTTCTTCCGCTGTGACATCAGAATGACTTCGATCAGTTCGCCTTAAAGTTGCGTAAGACGGTGATGTTTTTGATATTTTTAAAATCGAATCTGAAACAAAACAGTTTAACATTATGCAATTAATTAAGAAAATTTACTATTACCTGATGATCTCCGCTCTGCGCCATATCCAACAGTCTTCCTAAAATTATTACCACGCTTGAAATTTGGTAATGTACCGTTTTTTAACGGTGTTGTTTTACTTGATTCCTCTTTGCTATCGTGCGATATACTTGTGTCCATTTTATTAAGATAGTCATCCAGATCTAATAAGCAATCATCTATGTTGGCTAGGTCGGGTTCCGATTCAGTCTGACTAGCGGAGCAGTTTGAATCGGCAAGTGACATATCATGTATATCGAGAACTGCGTCGAGTTCTCGTAGGGCGTCATAGGCTTCATCATTGTGAAATATAGTGTTCTCGTTTGTTTGATGATCTCTCATATAAAGTGGATTTTCTTCGGATTTTTTGCGTCTGTTAAAAAAATTGCCTTCTAGAAATGACATCTTTATTGCTGATGTGCGTTTTTGAAAGTTTTCGGGAGTATTTTGGACTTCAATTAGATCATTATCGCTTAAATCGTCAACAAATCCGCACGCCTTTCTTACAGACTCCCTTGACAAATTGTCTGACAGTGAGCCACTTATAGCACTGCCAACAATTTCTTTTTTATGGGAAACCGCAGTCGTGTCATTTGATCGTTTTCGCCTCCTCCTACCGGTACAATAGCTTAAGGCTGAGCTGGAGTCGATCAATTGTTTTGAATTAAATTGATTTGTTATGTTATTATTGCTTGAATCGTCCATCGATAATGTTGAATATGATCTTTGACCCATGCGAAGCTTATTTTCAGTTATATTACTATCGCCGTTGCGGCGAATTTCGTGAGGCGTATTTTTTAAACTCATTCCTACTAGCGCACTGAAAAAATTTAAAAATATATAATATGAATTAAAATTATTGCCACTTCGAAATATCCATGTATTGATTACAGGTAACTAATTCTATTATTTTATCCTCCTGTGTAGAGGATGTTTATATATTTCTTTTAAGGTTGGTAAAATAAAAATGATACGTTTTGAGTTAAATATTTTTGTCGTGGAACAAAATCCAAACTTCAAAACAGGGCTGATGATGGTTTTTTATCATTAGAAGATATTGTATAGAAATGTAGATATATAAAAACCAGTTACTAAAACTGTAACTACCATTGAAAATGCGTACGTTTTGACAGAATAAATATTAAAATATGCGCAACTTTAGTTTCTTCTATGGCCTATATAAGGTCGGACAGAATATATATATATATATATATATATAAATTATGTTAGACGTGAAGCGAAAATATTAATATTTCAAGATTCTTAAGTAAATTTTCTTACAAAATTATAAATTGTGTTGTGTTTTGGATTAATTTTTTATTTAGAATATAAAAACAATTAGTTTTCTCCACGGCAACAAATGACGTTAAACTTAATTGAATTCACTTACTGGCCGACCTTATATAGGCCTTGGGTTCTTTCCTAAATAATATGTCATGGTACAATTATACAAGGTAATTGCAATACTCAGCTGATTTGATTCCAACGTAATGCTCGTGTCAATTTAAATATGACAAATTATGTTTTTTAAAGTGGCCCAGAAGGAAAATTGGGTACACATTGATTTCGAAATTAAGGGGAAACATATATGAAGATTCAGGCCTGCCCTGTTAAGTTGGCTTCGCATGAATTGTGAATTTATAAAGGATTATCAGAGTCAAATCGGAATTCTGACGCCGTTCTCCTTTATTCTTTTACAATAAAACAAGCCAACTTAACATGCCAAGTCGGAATGTCCATTTATTTCTTTCCCATTATGCTTTATTATTCACATTTATTCTTGATTAAATGTAATTCCGTATTAAATTTACTAAAGTTTGCCTACTGGGAAAGTTTGAAGCACTAAATCTGTTTTCATAAAATAATTCCCGATTTCTAGCATTTTCATATGTGTTACACATACAACTGGCAATGACTGAATTATAGGAAATGTGTGGATGCAATACAGTTATATCGTTAGCTAAAATGCAAAAAGGCGTAACTAACAAAAAATTGAAAATTGACTTTTTGAATGAATATTGTAAATGTCAATAAACTACATGTGTTGACAAAGTTTTACACGTCTGCGGTCAAAAAAGGAGCTTCTAATAACAAAAAACAAAAAGACGTAACTACAAGTGGGTTTATTTGATAAGTGTTAAAAGGCGTAACTAACAAAAAATTCACATTTTTACTTAATTGTTATGACAGCCATTAAACTAAATAACTAAATTTGTTAAAAAAAATATAGTCTATTATTCGTGATATGCAATATCACCCTGCCGGGCATACTTTTTTGGCATGTTTATAGTTTTCATTCAAAACAGTTTTTTGCTTCTCCTACACAATTATGCTTTTGTTAGTTACGCCTTTTTTGCATTTTAGCTGACGATATATTATATTTCATAGATTTTTATTCATAATTTTCAATGCTATTCTGAAAATTTGAAAATTTTGCATTTTGAAAATACATAGAATTAATTGATATGTTGCATATTTTGTTTACATTTTTCGACATATTAAACTGTTACATACAAAAACAATTTTCTGTGTGGTTGTTATTGAATGGTATTTGGTGTAGTTTTGCAGTTAACATCCCAGTGGGAAAATGTAATCGATGGTAAACGAACGGGTAATGAACAGGCACTATAATTTATTGATTACAGTATGCATTATCCGTAATACGCTACATGTCCTAGGAAAATAATATATTCCTCATTACTATCCATATAATGCATTAAGTAATCGATGAGTAATAATTTATTCTTTATAGATCCTTAGTAATATGTTAAATAATTTATTTTTCGGGTTTCATTAAGTAATTTATTGGTTTTAAATAAAAATATTTGTTTTATTTTTATATTTTATAATTAGAAATATAACGATGTTACATATAGTTTTAAAATGAAAATTAAACGTCACGGGATATTTTTGGACACAGGCAATACAAATATCTCCGTAGTTATCTGAAAAATTTGTTGCAATAACAATAATAAAAATTGGAATATTTTATTATGATTCATTACTTACACTTTTTGAAGAGCTGATGCATAATTTATGGGAATGCTGCCAAAGGACTGGATAACTTACATTATTTTTATTCACTCCATTTGCAGAACGTTTTAATTATTTTTTGCTAATAATTTTCCACCGACTTTAAAAAAATTACGTCTTTATTGGTGCAAGACACAGACAAAACTGACAAATTTATGTTCCGACATGGGAGCATCGGAAGATAACGGGACTTCAAAAATAGAAATCAAGAAAAAAGTGGAGCTTTCCATTACCTTATCGTATCCTTTGGGAAACGAGAAGGTAATTAGTATGACATTTTTGTCAATTGAAATTACCCTCTCGTTACCTTTGGTATATATTATAGAATGTATCCTCTATTATGCCTTTAATAATTTAACTTTTTGTTCAATTATATTCTTTTTTCGATTCTTCCGGATGCATTATATAATGTTATAATGCATTACTAAATCGATTCTCAATATAATACGTTCTCACTTTTCCCACTGGGATGATAATAGCTCTGTCTGTTTTCTCCAGTGAATAAATTTTATGCAGTAAGATTTTGCAAACTCAGCTATTTTTGAATCAGCAGTTTTATGAACAAAAACAAAAATTATTTAAAACATTTTTTAAGTTGTATACAAATTACAGAAAATTCGTAAGTAATGCAAGGTTTCATTAAATTAGAAACTATTCTTTATATTTTTAGGCAAGTTCCAGAAAGAGGGCAATGCAAGAAGCATTATTACATTGATTTGGGAACCAAATCAAATTCTCTTTTATTATTCGTTTTAGTTTAAATATTAAATGCATTGCGAATAATTGTGTTCGTCCTTTGTTTGTTGTTTATTTTGGCGCAAATAAAATGTTTTCTTGAATCAGCTGTTTATTTGCTAAATCTTACTAAATTTTGTCTGTTTACATTTCTCAGGATTATCGCAAAAGAGAGTAAAATGGCTTACTCTCTGAACTAGAACTTACTGAATAAATTTTACTGGAAAAGTAACCAGACACACCTAATATGTAAAGAAATTGCATGAAATGCAAACTCGCAAAATTTGTGTTAATTTACATACGTACGTAAATATGCTGGTTACATACATACAGAATATTGTTTTTATCATGTTGTTATCGGTATCGTTTGCCATTTGCTTATCAACAAAACATTAGACTTTCTTTTCGTAGGTCATGGACAAAATAATTTTGGCATTGAATTCAGAATTTCTGCGACTAGATATTTATGACCAGTCTTAGTCTTGTAAAATACTTTTTGTGTGCTCTTTCACTAGCATTATTAATACTTAAAAGGTATGAGCCGAAAGAAAGTGTTCTAAAGGTAGTAATAGAGGAATGGATATATAATAATATAAATTGTTTGTACGCGCTAAAGGGGAATTCACTTAAATCTTTAAGCTAGTGTTCGCAAACTATCGATGGTTTCAGACTTTTTTCTTTCATAAATACTTTTTTGTGATATGAACATACTTCACAAAAATTAAATTTGACAAAAAAATTTAAGTACATAAAATTTCAAATCGTGCTAAATGGAATAAAATCGTCTAAAAAAATTAAAAATATTCAATTTTCAAACCGTGTTATGTCAAAACCGTGTACAAAAAGACCGTGTAAAAACAGACTTAGGTGTATATACAAAAAAACAGGAACGTAACTCTAGTAAAAATGTCCACATTTGGTGATAGTTACCTCAGTGAATTTATCTCAAGTAGGTCAGCTAATATCTTTATTGACTGTGAAAAATTATTTTTTGAAGATTAACAAAAAATATTTTTTCGAACCAAAATTCACTTGCACAATACTATCATCATATTATTTTGAGTTTTTATCCTTTTCTTGTGTTTCACGATTAAAAAGTTAACAGCAAGAAAATACTAAGGCATGAATTCTCTTATCGGTAGATCTTATTAGTAGGCCATGTTACCGGTGTTTATACGGTATAAAACACTAAATTTACGAATTGCAAAATCTGAATACAAAATAATTAAAAAGTACTGTGCATCGAAGACTTAAACAAATATCGACGCATTTATTTTTAATGTTACCCCACGTTATAATTATTTTTAATATTAGGTAAGTTTGTTTTGTTAATCCAATGATTTTTTCAAATTGTTTCTGGATATTGTTCGGTAACTTAAAAGTTCAGAAAATGTGAGTAAGCTGAGAGACAAATGTTGGCAGTTATGTACTTCTTTCTAAAGGCTTTGGATGTCGAATCGTTCCTTTAAATTAATTCCCACCTTTTGAGTTATTTCAAATATTTTTTTATTATAAGCATTATTTGAAATATAATTCCAGTTTCTGACGACAATGGAGTTGTACATTGCACGATTAGTCATATAGACATTTTTCCAATGGGAATCAACAGAAAACTAAAATGAAAATTATATATAGGCAATTGAAGAGAGCGCTTAAAAGAAAATAAAAAATTAAACCAATTCGACGTTAACACAGAATTGCATTTATACATTAAAAAACATTACAATACACACATGTTTATACATACATGTGTATTTCTTTGTTGCACTTGCATCATTATTGACCTTCATTTCGATATATAATTAAGTATTAAATTTCAAGACAATTGCTCAAATTTGTTATTTTATTCACTTTCATGTGAGTTTTCACACCGACAACACAAGTTATTATTCCAATATCAATACTATATACACATGTGTCTACGTACATACACTGTCAATTTTCTAAGAGGTCATATCATTTAAGTAATGTCAATTGTTATTCGTATAAAGTGTTCTCGAACGCATATCTTTATGTGAAGGATGTGACTATGTTCCTAA